AAAAACATGGAGATTAGCAATGTGACTCTTTAGTCTAGTGGGTAGGCAATCGCCTGGTAACTGGAAGGTATCGGGTTCGACACCCAGCTGTTGCTTTTTTTTTCTTTTGCTACATCTACAACAATAAGTATAAGTATGAAAAAAAAAACATGGAGATTAGCAATGTGACACTTTAGTCTAGTGGGTAGGCAATCGCTGGTAACTGGAAGGTATCGGGTTCGACACCCAGTTGTTGCTTTTTTTTTAATCTTTGAAAAAGAAAAAACTGATGTCAAACCCATTTTGATCTCACTCAAAGTCCATATTTATTGCTATTCTCTTAATTGATCTATACAATGAGCTTGCAATAACTTGTAAGCAAGGTAAAGTATTATATTACGAAGTACAAGAAGGACAGGAAGGAATCCTGTTTTATCTATTTATCAAACATTATTACATTCAATACTTTTTCAGTCCCAATGAGAGAGAGAGAGAGAGAGAGAAAGAGAAAGAGAGCCAGAAAGAGACAAGTGAAGAGAACCCAATACACCTCATCAGTGTAATAAAGTCTGATGATCTTTATCTACATACTCACTTCAAATATTTTGCCGGGCAGATATTATTATTTATAAAAACAAACCAATTTTGGAGTTTATAATAAATATTATTGTTGTGTTGTTGTTGATGATGTAAAACAATGAGAAAATAGGGACCTTTTGCGGGGGGGGGGGAGCAATGTAGAAAAAACTACAGGGGAGCCTTGGAATTTTTTATTGGGGGGGGGGGGGGTGTGTATCGGCGCGGATTCAGGATTTCTTAGGGGGGCCCAAATTTGAAATCAATTGAAATTTAATGTGCTGAAATAAAAAAAAAATCGTGCCGGCCGATATTTCACTCAGTGGTAGTGGGGAAGGGGGAGGGGGGTAGTAGAGAGCACTATTTTTTTGTTTTGGCCCTCGAAAATTTGAAAAATCCCCCCCCCCCCACCCACATTAATCGCCAGGGGGGGTCCCATGTGGCAGCTAGCTGGCAATCGACAGCTAGCTGGCAATCGACAGCTAGCTGGCAATCGACAGCTAGCTGGCAATCGACAGCTAGCTGGCAACGACAGCTAGCTGGCAATCGACAGCTAGCTGGCAATCGACAGCTAGCTGGCAATCGACAGCTAGCTGGCAATCGACAGCTAGCTGGCAATCGACAGCTAGCTGGCAATCGACAGCTAGCTGGCAATCGACAGCTAGCTGGCAATCGACAGCTAGCCATCGACAGCTAGCTGGCAATCGACAGCTAGCGGCAATCGACAGCTAGCTGGCAATCGACAGCTAGCTGGCAATCGACAGCTAGCTGGCAATCGACAGCTAGCTGGCAATCGACAGCGTAGCCTGGCGGCGATAGCGGATAGCCCCAAAGCTATGTCCATTTAAAAACTGGATTCAAGAGCCTCTTATTGCTAGGTTTACAACGTTGTTTTACATTTTCAATTATAATTTCCTAGTTTTATTCACTCTCTACAGTCCCGTACTATCCCTTTTTAGTCTGTAAACAAACCAAAACAATGATGAACAGGGTCTTACTTCTCGTATAAGTTTATTAGAAGCGCCCTATGTCATTTTGCACGAAGTGATACAAAGGGCCTTTCAAATTTAAGTCTATTGCAAGCATTCCCCCACCTAGCCTGTATGACCGAGCAGAATCATTTAGTGCTCAACAATAAAAATCCACAGTCTGGCTAAAGAGGTCCATTATTTGTTTGTTTATTTAGTTATTTTATTTAATTGACATTGTACAGTACTATTAAATATCAGGTATATTGGATGCTCTGTTTTAAATACAGTCAAGATTGCCGAGCAATGAATTACATCCTGCTTCTTGTCCTCAAACCATATCTTTCTGGTTTTTAAAACGGTATCATTTGAATTTCCATTTCCAAGCATTATTTTGAACTGTCCCAAAATTGTTTTCTTTCTTAAATGAGACTACAGCCCCAGTCTAAAGTGCTTGTCCTCCCAGACAAGGACAAAGAGCCTCTTCGGTAGTTTAGGGACAATGCATCAAAATAACGCGGTCATTGTTGCAATGTCAGGAATGCTATATTACCTCCTCTTTGGTAATCCTCGCATTTGACCAAACAAAAGTCGCTCAATGAAGGGAGGGTCAGGTTGTTTCAATTCACTAATATTATTGATGCCATGTCAGAAAGAGCTGAGTAGTTTGTTACGTAACTATTCAAAAATTGCAGGTGCAAGCTATTGAAAACAGAATCGAATAGCCAAGCTTCCCTATTCATTGGTGCCCTGTTATAGAATTCGTAGCATATACTGAATTGAATAGACCCGTGTTCTATTCATTATACTATGTGAGGGCAGTGGCCTCTTGTCATATCACTTTAAGTTAAGTCAGGAGTTTGCAAATTAAATGAAATAAACATAAAACCTCACTATTATATCAGTAATATCAGTAACTGAAAGAAAAAAATACGGGCAATCTTCACAACATCGGACTACAAAAATAATGATAATAATGCATCCCGAAAGCGTCAAATCAGTAAATCGGCACATTTTGTAAAGTCATTAGCATGCAGAAAGTGTTAACAACAAAAAGCGAACCAGTTATCACGGTGAGGCAAAATGGTCTTGTGGATAAAAGTGATCACTTCACAATGTAATGTACTCGGTTCGAGTCTCAGTTTCCTTTATATAAACCCATGTTATTTTTTCTTCTTCACTCCATAATATTGACTTGTCATCTCTTTTTAAAGGGGACACCCCCCCCTCAACAAAGAAAAAATAGCATGTAATACTCTTTCTTTAACAAGCGACTCTCTGAATTAGTCAGAAAACATCTTTGCTACATAGTGTAAGTATGAAGAATACATGGAGATTAGCAATGTGACACTTTAGTCTAGTGGGTAGGCAATCGCCTGGTAACTGGAAGGTATCGGGTTCGACACCCAGCTGTTGCTTTTTTTTTTAATCTTTGAAAAGAAAAACTGATGTTAAACCCATTTTGATCTCACTCAAAGTCCATATTTATTGCTATCTCTTAATTGATCTATACAATGAGCTTGCAATTAACTTGTAAGCAAGGTAAAGTATTATATTTACGAAGTACAAGAAGGACAGGAATCCTGTTTTATCTATTTATCAAACATTATTACATTCAATACTTTTTCCAGTCCCAATGAGAGAGAGAGAGAGAGAGAGAGAGAGAAGAGAAAGAGAGCCAGAAAGAGACAAGTGAAGAGAACCCAATACAACCTCATCAGTGTAATAAAGTCTGATGATCTTTATCTACATACTCACTTCAAATATTTTGCCGGGCAGATATTATTATTTATAAAAACAAACCAATTTGGAGAGTTTTATAAAAATATTATTGTTGTTGTTGTTGTTGATGATGTAAAACAATGAGAAAATAGGGACCTTTTGCGGGGGGGGGGGGGGGAGCAATGTAGAAAAAACTACAGGGGAGCCTTGGAATTTTTATTTGGGGGGGGGGGGGTGGGTATCGGCGCGGATTCAGGATTTCTTAGGGGGGCCCAAACTGAAATCAATTTGAAAACTTAATGTGCTGAAATAAAAAAAAATTAGTCTAGTGGGTAGGCAATCGCCTGATAACTGGAAGGTATCGGGTTCGACCCCCAGCTGTTGCGTTTTTTTCTTTTGCTACATCTACAACAATAAGTATAAGTATGAAAAAAAAAAATGGAGATTAGCAATGTGACTCTTTAGTCTAGTGGGTAGGCAATCGCCTGGTAACTGGAAGGTATCGGGTTCGACACCCAGCTGTTGCTTTTTTTTTCTTTTGCTACATCTACAACAATAAGTATAAGTATGAAAAAAAAACATGGAGATTAGCAATGTGACACTTTAGTCTAGTGGGTAGGCAATCGCTGGTAACTGGAAGGTATCGGGTTCGACACCCAGTTGTTGCTTTTTTTTAATCTTTGAAAAAGAAAAAATGATGTCAAACCCATTTTGATCTCACTCAAAGTCCATATTATTGCTATTCTCTTAATTGATCTATACAATGAGCTTGCAATAACTTGTAAAGCAAGGTAAAGTATTATATTTACGAAGTACAAGAAGGACAGGAATCCTGTTTTATCTATTTATCCAAACATTATTACATTCAATACTTTTTCAGTCCCAATGAGAGAGAGAGAGAGAGAGAGAAAGAGAAAGAGAGCCAGAAAGAGACAAAGTGAAGAGAACCCAATACACCTCATCAGTGTAATAAAGTCTGATGATCTTTATCTACATACTCACTTCAAATATTTTGCCGGGGCAGATATATTATTTATAAAAACAAACCAATTTTGGAGTTTTATAATAAATATTATTGTTGTTGTTGTTGTTGATGATGTAAAACAATGAGAAAATAGGGACCTTTTGCGGGGGGGGGGGGGGGAGCAATGTAGAAAAACTACAGGGGAGCCTCTGGAATTTTTATTTGGGGGGGGGGGTGTGTATCGGCGCGGATTCAGGATTT